ATAATGGTTTGCAAATCTCAAAATGAATATTAATTTTTCATACTGTACATTATGATATACATTATAATGTTGTGATTCCTAAATCCACTTGTAGCATTTCAAACGATTGATTTTAGTTTCACTCTAACAGTGATTCATTGGCTGAAGTTTGCTAAGAGGTTCCTAGTTGACTGCAGCATCTAACCTAATCAGACAGCAGAAAACATTGAAAATTAATGACTTCTGATTGCTTTTTTGCTACAAATTACTGTCAGTTTAAATATATATAACATCACAATGCTTTGCATATACATGCCTTAAAGGAACACTCCACTATTTTTGAAAATAGGCTCATTTTCCAACTCCAAATGAGCCTATTTTCAAAAATAGTGGAGTGTTCCTTTAAGGTAAAGTTACATTTATCGTTGCTTGGCAAAATTTTACAGTCGAAATATAGTAATTTTAATAGGAATGCGCATGTTCAGGAGTTTTGCATGACGGCGAAAATGTCCATACACAGATTTCGCTCATGTTCAAGTTAAAATTCGCTGTGCTGATCAACAGAAAGCTGCTTGGTTTAAAAGTGGCTTCTGTGTGAGTTGTGCTTTATACATCACTACAGTATTGAGAATAAATAATGGACTTTTTGTAGGCCTATATGAAATTTCCCTGGAATATCACTAATGTGGCCACAAATTAGAATCCGGTCTGAAACCAGTTACCTTTCATTAGCTTTATGTAAAAGTGCCATTTACGCCAAGGATGATAACTATAATGATTACTATAAGATCAAGTTTTAATATTCACTCAAATTCTATAGTGATGTCCACATCACAACTAAAGCGATAGAGGAACAATATCGCAGGAATCACTTTCACAATGTTTTTTGTTTTCAGCTGATGGAACAATAAAACCATTGACAGCCAATTAGAATCCATCCAACTTTAAAGAGCTTGAGCATTTAAAGTGGTAAATGACAAAACTGCAGCGTGCTGTTTATAATTAACATATGTTATCGTGTGTTGGTGTGGATGATAATATAGTTATCGCTATAGTTATCGTTCTTGGTGTCAACGGGTTTTAAGTAATTATCAGCTTGGTTTCAGACACGACAGTGGTGGTTTCAGGCTTTTCATCTGGCCAAGTCAAACCTTGTGAGAGATGAGGACATCCACTATTGATCAGAACCTCAAAGGTCCTGCGACTTTAATTGGCGGAGCACATATCGGATATAGAGATTAGTTGGGGGCAGACAGAAATGTAATGAAAATCAATAGCTGTGAAGTTTGGCCTGATATATTTTTGGATCGCTTTGTGGTTCCTGTTAATTGGCTGTTTAAAACAGACAAAAAGGACAGAGGAGGAACGGACGGATTGAACCCTGTAAAGCTGCTAAAGAAGCAGCGAGGGATACAGAAAGCATGAGAATGTGATGGGAAAGTAGGAGAGTCCCCCACGTGTAAGGAATCTCCAGCCTCAGTGCTAGATGGTGAGGAGAGCTGCGTCTTAATTCGCTCAGGGCTGCCTTTGGCACGTGCTCAGGCTTCGTGACTCAATTTGCCTCAGCCTGCCTCCGAGAGAGATAGCGAGAGAGCGAGGGAAAGAGGAGGTGGGGCTCTGTTAGACCTAAAGGGGTCAACTGACAGACATCCACCCACGCGCCAGTATCCGCTCGCAGCCACACGGAGAACATGAAAACCTGAGCTTGAGGGCAGCTGTCAGCTTTACTAACACTCATGCATGCTTAAAGCCATGTACGCAAACATAATGCAGTATGCACAGATGCATGCAGGTACCCAGAATGAATGCAGTGTGTCCACATGCAAACAATTCCTCCCATATGTCCGCAGCGGAGAGACAGGAATGTGAAAATCTAAATGGTGCATATGGTGAATCTCATAAACACAGCGGGTTCTTGCTCGCAGCGACTGGAATGTTCAGACTGTTTACTGCACATGCTGCATGCATGCACGTGATCGCCTCCAGTGCAAGCATGTATGACAGCTCCTCACTCAGCCTGGCTCTAATGACAAAGAAGGCATAGTGCCGGATTATTTACACACTAGAGTACACATCATTTCCAGCAAAAACTTACTAGGATGATGGTTTGCTTTTCCTTGTGCTGCAACACAAAACCCTTTCCAATCCTTTCTCGGTGATTCATCCTTGTCCAGGCATGAAGAAAATTGTTCCTAAGCAACATGCGGTCAACAAAAATCTCAGCATTATCTTTTTTACCATGCACGTTCTGACATTTAGTTCTTGAAGTTTAATTAGTAAGCGTGGTGTTACCAGCGATTGCAGGGAACACACAAACTGATATAAGCTCTCTCACAATTATTACTATGTTAAGCTAAGCTAATAATAGTAGTAGTAATAAACTTACTATTTATTACTAATTATGACTATTTATTATTAAACTGCAATAGTAAACTTACTCAAATTTTTCAGTACGTGAAATCAATAGTAATGCACCAACATTTATAAACACTGAAACCAAAATCAAAGTTTAGCTGAAAAAAAAAAAATATAAATTTAGCTGAAACTGAAGTTGAAAATAAAGTGTTGGTAATTAAATTTGCTTAACTGGGTAATTGTTTTCAGGTGAGAAATTAAACTAGTTGTAATAAAGTTCTTCAGCAACGAGTCGTCTATCCTAACAAATTTTACACAATCAAAACATTTCATTGGAGAAGCGATAATAAAACATTGCGTTTTGGTCATTTTTAGTATTTTTTTCAGCTGAATATTTTCAGTTACTATTTCGATTGCCATGAATTGTAGTGTGTCACTAGAAATCAATTTTACAGTAAATCAGTTTTTACAAATGAATCAGTGACAGTTTGGCATTTAACATCAGCTTGTTGCTAAGATAACAATGTGAGACTCACATACAAAACACACATCCAGAAATATTGAGTAAAATAATAAATTTTTAACTAGACAGAACTAATTTATGGATATTTTCTAGTAAAGAATAGATTATGTTTACTTCACTCACTTCATCCACCATCCTCATTCACTTCAGTGCGTTCTGGGATTATCTTCTTTTGGGAAGGATGGTGTTGCCTTAGTATTTGGCCAAAATAAGGTATCTACCTGTTGAAGAAGCTATTAGAGATAAAAAGTCTCTAATCTTTTTTGCTCTTTTCCTGCGTCAGGTTTCTGGAAGGCCACCTGTCCCCCATCATGCGCTAGTCCACTCCTCGTGTTTGTCAACTCAAAAAGCGGAGACAACCAAGGGGTAAAATTCCTGCGTCGCTTCAAACAGCTGCTCAATCCCGCTCAGGTCTTTGACCTGGTCAACGGTGGACCTCATTTAGGGTAAGACCAGGAAAAGAAAGAGTAGACTCTGAATCATTGAAACGAGTCATTTACGAATCCCAATCCGTTTCATGGTGACGTCAACATGAAGTATTAGCATATTGCCCACCCACTTGTTGGTCTTTTCGCATTGGTCTGAATGAAAATGCAAATTCATTCTTTGCCACTAGGTGCCGCTTT